TTGCTGTGCAGCAGGGGGCTCAAACCCTGGATCTGGATTTTCTGACACTTCTGGGACTCTACCTTCTATGAGCTACGATATTTCTCTTGCAGCAGAAGTGTTCTGTGATTACCTTTCAATGCTGCTTTAATGCTTATCATCCACACCTGTTTCTCATTATTCGTGAAGACTTCTTTCCTTAGTCACTGCTTAGTTTTGAAGCTTGCTTCAGCCTAAGCACTTGCTATACTGTGATAGGTCCCTTTGGTTTTAACTCTCGCTTGCTCCAGTCTTTGGTTATGGTGTTTTTTTCTCCTGGAATTGACCCTAGCTTTGACTGCAATTCTGCTTAGTGGTTTTGTTAGTTTTTCTTGGACCCTGAATCACACATACAGTAACTCAACCATCACAGATGCTCTCTACGAATCAACTTATTAATGTCTCGCAATTCTCGTTGGGGAGCTGAGAATTTAATAAAAATTTCAGGAAGCACCTACCATCCCTACCATCCTTATCACTAATACAAATATAATTTGAAATCCAAAATGAATTGATAAATCTCTAAACTGTCTTAGAGGTAGAAGTCTATTGTGGAAGATAAACTACTTCACAGTATAAGATAACTGGCATCCCAGAGAGGGAGTGAAATAAAAAGCACAAACATCCTTCATAGTGGCAAATGACCCAGTTTTATCACAATGCCTGTTTCTGTGCTCACAAAGATAATAGGTGGATTTAGATAGGGTGACTAAATTCACTGCTTCACACAGAACAAGGAAATGTACTGCCTCATCCAACACACAACACCAACATTAAAATATAATGACCAAACTGTAAATGTTAAAGTGAGGAATACTGGAATGGGTAGGTAAGATGATTAATGATCTGCGTGTGACCAATACAGCAGAGGAAAGGATATAAATTGTGAGAAAAAGCAGTTTGAATGAAAACTGAAGAAGAAATGCCAAATAGGTAATTTAAGGACAGGAAATCTGGTAAAAGTACACTAAGGAGTAGTTAATACTCACAATAATAAATGACCAGGAAGGCAGAATTCCATGAGGGTTATTATATAGTTCTCAACAGCACATTTGAGACATAAACGGATGGACTAGTGGCTAAAATGAAGGATCTGTATTACAAACATGAAGGGTTATGCAGGAAACTGACATCTTAATTTAGGAGCCTTAGTCTAGCAAAAGAGGAAGGAGGTAACACACCAAAGGACTCCATCTTACAGTGAGGCACAGTGCAGACCAATTTAAAGCACTAGATTGAGGAGATGAGTGTGACTGTAGAGGCAGAAGGTTCATGTAGTAAAGAACAGTTCATCAGTCACAGCAGGATTCAGACTTTGATGTGAGTCAAAGCATGTTGGTTGAAGGTAAGTAACAAATAATAGCAGGCAGAAAAGGGAATTTAATTTACAATGAAAAGTCAAGGACCATCTATCTAACCCCCTATTTAATATTACGCTTAGGCTTAATTTACTTTCATACTGTACAGTTGACAGTGGTAGTTAAGTCTGGTACTCCAAACTCATTTGTCTGATTGGACTCCAGTTCCTATGATATTATATCGTAATTTGTTCTTAATAGAAATGTACAATACAGTATAGAGATAGTGGACAAAATAAAGTAAAGACTAATATAAAGTTACTACAGTAAATAGCACGTTAGGCCACCACGTGTAGCCAGAACAGCCTGAACACTCCAATGCACAGGGACTACCAGCATCTGAAATTCTGCAGGAAGAATGTGGATTCTTCAAGCTTTGTTACTGTTTTAGGATTTCAAAGTACAACCTTTCTTTATGAGAAAATCAATCAATTCATGCCTGGTTGACAGAGTGTGAGAAAGCTGGCTTTGTTCCAGAACATCCCAGAATTGCTTGATTATATATCAGATCTGATGTATCAGATCTGGTGACCAAGAAAAGCCATGATGTACTGTATGGAAAATATCAGTCTCATCTTCACCACATGTGCTCTGTGGATGAGGGCCCTGTCATCCTGGAAGAAACTGCTACAACCTGGGGTGAAGATGATCATGAAGCATCTTAAATAGAAACTACCACTGGCTTGTCAGGTTGGCACTACATGTGTATTTGTTTGTTTAAGAAGAAAATGTTGAAAGATGATTCATCTGACCATATCATATTTCTCCACTTGGTTGTTGATTGCCTGCACTCTTGACATCACTGGACCCAAAAACATGCCTTGCTACAGTAGATGGAGACTGCTTTTGAAACTGGATACTCACATTCTAAGTTGAAATAGGCAGTTAATTGATCAGCAGTTGTTCCTTTTTTGTCTCACACTTTGAATAAATGGATATACACAGTATATAATGATTCTGGAGTATCACCAGCATCTACAGTATATAATCCTGCAACTCACAACTGGCAGCCCACTGAAGCTAAGCAAGTGTGAGCCTGGTCAGTACCTGGATGGGAGACCTCCTGGGAAAGCTATGTTTCCTGCTAGATGAGGTGTTAGTGGGTCCAGCAGGGGGTGCTCACCCTGCGGTCTGTGTGGGTCCTAATGCCCCAGTATAGTGATGGGGACACTATACTGTAAAAAAGGGGGGCAGTCCCTTGGATGACACATAAAACCAAAAACTCTGTGGTCATTGAAAAGAGTAAGGTTGTTACCCTTGTGTCCTGGCCAGATTTCCCCCTTGCCTTTATCGGTCTTAGCGTCCTAATAATCTCCGTCTATGAATTGGCTTCAGTAATTCTGTACTCCTTTCCACTAATAGCTGATGTGTGGTGAGCTGACTGGTGCACTTTGGCAGTATACGTCTGTCCACTGTTACCCTTTGTTCATGAATAACCTGGGCCCCACCACTCACTTCTCTTTCAAAATTACTGAGGTCTTGCAGCCACTGAATGCTTGTCAAAATTAGCACTAGGCATGCAGGGATGTTATTAGCTTAATTAATGCATGACACACTTTCAATATAGTGTATTTGGTGTCTTTCATTCACCGTTACCTGCACAATAGCTACATTAAGCTTTTTGAAGTCATACAGCCCACAAACAGATTTACAAAAAAAAGAGGACTTCCCAGTTACCAAGCACTGTCCTAATTCTTGTTAAGTATTCACAAGGGGGAAAAAATCTAAAACAGGAACAAACAAAAATAAATAGGAGTACTTCAAAAAGATTCTCTGGTGAACAGGGACTGGAGATTGGAAGTCATTGCAATCATTAGTCCATTTCCAAAGTGCCTCTTCAGTGTTATCAAGTCTAAAAAATGCTTTCAATCAGTTGCCTCTCAGATAATAAGACACATCAGACTCATTGAAACTGATGAGAGTCAGAGTCTTCTTACTGAGTACTTGAGGTCATAGATTAAGCCAGGAAAGGTAACTTTGTTTCTCCATTAATCACAATGTGGAAATGAATGTAGAATCTTCTTTCAGAAATTCAACAAATATTTTCATTACTCAAATACATAAAAAATAAAATACAATCTTTCAGCGACATTTTCAACTGTCTGTCATCTGAACCTGCAGCAGCTGGTGGCTATGCTCTAATGATTGCATCTCATTGCTTTATACCAATTGACTTCATTCGTCTTTTGCCCGATAATACTGCTAAATGCCACCCAGGTTAAAGCAGCTCAGCAAACAAAGTGAAATTAATTTAACTCTGATCAGCATGTTAATAACAATATTACTTGTGACACCACAGAACAGAGGGAAAAAGCATTAAGAGACACTCACATACAAATAAAATAAAAATTCTGCATGAGTAAAGAAAATCATCTAAACCCAAAAGGGATGTAATTTAAAATGCTGCTTGAGAGGTCTGTTTCCACTGCTCTGATGTAAAGAAAAGCAATAACTGCAATGTATTTAAAAATGTGTTAGTTTCAAACAGAATAAATAACATTTTAAATACATTTAAATTACTTTTTTTGGAATTTAAAGCAAATCACATTGATGTTTATTTCCCTACCTTTCAGATTAACTTGCTCTTTCACTTATAGTTTAACTAAGGAATACTGTACGCTAATGAATGGAAAATAAAAAGGCAGGGTAACAGTAATTCAGATAGACAATACCTTTTCTTGTCTTAATTTAAACAAGTTGCATTGTTTAAATAAAAAAACATTTTGTATACCACTAACTTAAATGGAAAGTTAATTAATTTTGGCAAGTATTTTAAATTATTGCTCAATATTAGCACTGTATAGGTTATGGATATCAAATTGACATATCTGTTACTACTTGTTTCTTCAACTTAAAATAATTACATAAAAAGTAATCAGTATGTATAATGATGATAAGCAGCTGCTGAGAAATAGTACAATAATATTTAGGAAAGTGCATAATTCATACAACAGTTCCATCTCTAATAGAGTCATTTGTCCAATGTATGTACACATTATATTTCCTGTTGCATAGAATTATCAGCTGTTTCTAATGACTTCATTATGTGGCAGCTTTATTCAGGCCCACTACTCCATTTAGAATTTACATTTAAGAACTAAAAATAACAAATGAAAATCAGAAAGTTGGGTTACACTTTCAGAAAGGGAAAAACATAGTTATGTTAATTTAGTGCCAAAAGAAATGTACATTTTATTATTCACATATAATGACTTTAAATGCTTCCATTTATTCCAAATCATGTAATAATGGAATTTCCATAATAAGATTCCCTTATACGATATAATTTTTATTAATAGCTGCAGGTTGCATGTTGTGTGATATTTTCTTTTGCAGTTCATCTTCGGAAGATAATGAAACTATACTATATGTTTTTGTTATTGTTCAACAAATGCCCAAAAAAGAAAAAAAAATGTGTCAATGTAATTCTAGCTAAAGTCAACAATATTTAAAGTATGGTGGTTTATTGAAGGTGTTGCCCGGTTGAAAGAGTAACTTTGTCGTAGAAAAGGGATTTTCTACTAAATATCTTATACTGTATAACGAGTTTTTCTCTTCCTCAAAATGATTTTCAAGAATACTTCTTGTGGTGTAAAAAAAATTTCACTTAAGAAAATTTCATACCTCTTCTTTTTCAGCACTCTGAAGGTCTCGCCATTCCTCTGTCACGTGACCAAAGTCAACGGTGTTCATAGGCACTTTAACATCCCCAATGACATCGTGCTTCGAGAAACGATCAAAGTCGTAAACTGTCATAACCAGAGTTTTCCCTCCCAGTTCAGCATAGGGCACCTGAAGAAGAGAAAAGAGGGATCGAAAAGGGCACACAGTGAGCTGTCTGACTGTGATAAATCAATTTGTCTGGCTCTTTGAGATGTCATGCTGGTAAGATTGAATGTTAGGAGCATTATCAACCAGAAATCCAAGTAATAACTATAGAGATTTTTTTTTCTATAAGAGATTTGATGACTGATTACTTATGATTGGGCTGTTTCCTCCACTAAAATGTGTAAGGATTTACTTCTATATGGCCTCAAATTGTTGCAACTGGTGGGAACACAGATAAGACCATGGCTTCTACTTTGTCCTTGATGTCATTGCACTTGATTATACTGAAGGCACTCATGATGGATCTTGGAAACAGTGTTAAAATGTGTCTATTTTAACTGCTCACAGCTGCATTAGCGAAATTTGCTAACATTAACCATATTGGCAAATGTTCAGCCTTCCCTCAGCATATGTTACGAATAAACCAGTGAAGGCAGGCACCTGTATTCTGTTAACAATGTAAGACTGATAACTTAATTACACACTCTGGGTAGCAATTTTAGATTTATATACAAGGCAGTATAATATCAATTCATTTGGGGGTAATATCCATTTCTATAAATGCTTCTGTCTTTAGAGTGCAGTGATATGTTTACTTTTTGGCACACAATGTTATTTCTATGAAGCACACAGACGTTCATTTAATGCACCAGCTGCTTGTTGCTGTTAAGAACAAATCATGTAACAGGTTTTAATCATTTTTGTATTTTTACTGATCGGCAAACAAAGGGAAAAAACCCCATCTGCTATTAAAAACCTGTCGATTTCTGTAAAAAACATAAATAGGTATGAAATGGGATGCTGATTCTTGAGTTAATATAATTTTGTCACACGCAATTTGCAAAAGGTATTTTATATGACTTGTTTAAAATGACAATCTATACAGGAATTCAATTAGATCTTTTCAAACCATACCTTGAAAGTAAACTGCTCATTGAAGCAGGGGTTGAGAGTCTTTCTGTGGACTTTAGTCTCAAATTTCTTCTTTTTATCAGGGAGCAGGAAAACCTTCACATAAGGATCAGAGGTCCCACCCATGTCCAAAGCAGGGAGTTCTGCTGCTTGAATAATCCCCACAATGAGCTGGAAGAAATCACAATAGGAGAACCTTAAGATTACTTACTGCAAACAAAAATACAAGAATTGTATTTTAGCTGTTTACATAGACGATTAACAACCTGGGGTTTACACCTTTGGATTAATTGTCATTAATATGAAGTGGATTTGTAAGCCCTACTGTGTTTTAATTAAATGAATTACACAGATTGCTTTTCCCAGCCACATTAAGTGCAATTAAAAAGTAGTTTTTCCATGATACCATTGTATGATTTTTACTGTTTTGATTCTTACTTCCTGGGTATCCCATTATATGTAGGGCATTGATGTGACTGCTTTTGTTTTGATAGGGCAAGCAAATTATTGCAGGAAAACAACATCTGAGAAGATGTCTCAAAGCCTTTGCTACTGTAGGTACTTACAGTAGAGGAACATTGGCCTCATATAGTGCCTTTGAATCTCCATAACAAAGCCTCTGGCATTCTGGTTTGAGAATCCTTTTCATAAGCTAGTTTAAAAACAGCTGTCAAGACATTTTCAAACGTACCCAGCGGCACAAGAAAAACAAGTACAAAAGTGTACTCCACAGACAAAGAGTAAGTTGAATGAAGCATAGAATGGACAAAAACTAATGAAAGCAGGGTCAGATTCTTTTATAAAACTAGGGACTTCCACATTATGTTTGGAATGTCATTGCAATGCATTACAATTCTCTAAGGGTAATGATAGCAGTTTGACTTTCAGTTTGCACCTTTCAAAAACAATTCAATTCTTTCACAATAAACCAGAAACAAGTCTGTCTTAAGACTGAGAAGGTCAGTATCTTTTTCCTCAGATAACTAAAATGTCTTGTCAATCTGTAAGTGACAGCCACACCAGGAAGCTAAACTGACTGATTGACGTGCCAGTCTCAGATCGCACTCTTCAGATTTCTGGACTCTGAAAATCGCTCAATCAGATTCCTATCACACGGACATCAAGTTCCAATTTGGGAGGTTCCAGTAATTGAGTGCTGTGGAGAGCTCCTGCATCCTCGCAGACAAGTCTAAAGTACAGACAACTAAATTTCAGAAATTCGTACTGTATATACTGTACACACAACAAACACAAAACCATACAGTATGTGAAATACAACTGTAAGTAGATACAGTATTAGTGTAAATTCCAATTGAAAACTTTTACTTTAACTATAGTCACTATAACTAAACAAAGATATATAAGGCAAAAAATCCCTCATGAATTACAATGCTTCTGTACTGTAGTTTCTATCATAAGGACAACTGCTGTACATACAGTATACTGTACAGGTAATTCAGAAAAAAAGCAAATCGGGAATTAAGGACATCTTGAGTAAAGAAAGGGAAACAGATCTTTGAGATAAAAGTTGATGATACATGCAAACTAATTTTCTAAAGATAATGACAAATGCATGAAATATACCAAGGAGAAAATCCCAAAGAATGGAGTAAAAAAGACTGGTAGAAGGCTCTCAGAATAGAAAGGGGTCATCTTTATTGTACTTGCATTAAAGCCATTATTTTATAATTAGATATATAGCCAAACAGAAAAAAGTGCCATTTTATGTTGCTTTAAAATTCAAATCAACTGTTCTGTTGTTATATAGCATAACTTAAAAAAACATTTAAAAGCCTATGTGTATATATACAATATACACAGCCATATACAATAAAACATAGGCTTTTCACTCAACACAGAATTATATTTTTTTGAGAATTTAACAACTACGATTTATGTTTCAAAACATTCAATATAATGCAAAATTTCTTCACTCCATTTAAGATATAACTATATATATTTCTGCAATTTCCCTCACGGGATCAATAAAGTATCTATCTAACCTTTAAGGAAATGTCCAGTTTGAACTCTGTATCTGATAATTAATCCCAGATAATTTACATTATCTGTATTTCTCAAAGAGAGCATTGATTGATGACATTGTCTATTAACCTGTAAGAGTTATTTAAAGTGATTTATAACCAAACTTTCTATGGCAGTGCATAGAACTGAATATTGTCTCTTCACTAGGATTAAAGATGTCTGAAGAGTGTGAACGTCTTTGCTTTAAAGCATGCTAAGGCAGATGCCAGGCACTGTCCTCAAGAGAGCTCTTCGATCATCAGATCCCATCCTTCTCAATGCATAGCACTAAGCGATAATTAGTTTCCTCATTTACAGTACTCTGCACCTGTTTCTTCACTGTCTTTCTACTATGTCACACAATCTCAGAACAGAATTGAATAAAGCAGGTGAAGCAGACACTAAACTCCTATATAATCAGCTTTGATAATATTAATCTTAAAATGACCATCTTAATTGAGCCTTCTCAAGAACATTAAGGTGCTTTTAATTACAAGACTATAATTGACATGTTTTGGTTAAGAAATAAAGCATGGACTATATATATTTTAGGTACTAGGTTCAATACTTTAATAAACAAATAAACTCAAATCCATGAAGAAAACTTCTGTGAGAACCTCCACAGTTCTCTTCTATCAGAAATGAATCAATTCACAAGTCATATTCTATTTAATTTAGTGCATTCACTCTAATAACATATACTTTTATACTAATATGCATAAGTGATGTTTCATATAATTACAGGTTGTTATCCTTTAAAAGATTTTACACTGCATGCATACTGTATGTGCTATATACTGTAGAGTTATTTTATAACACGTGATCTTCAGTAGGCTGAAAGAATTTCTGAATGACACATGCTGATTGAATTCTACAAAAAATAGTGAATATTTGACTGTAAAAGTGAAGCCAGAACAGCAGAGGTTTATATACTAGTGGATTCTCTTAGTGGTGCAGAGGTACAGTTTATCCTAGCTCTGTTTGGCATTTGGGGATTGTATTGAATTAAATAGCAGTGCAGCAAGCTTGTGAGGTTTAGATTTATCTCCCAAGAATTGTGAAAACGCATGATTATAAGGGTTATAGTAAGTAAATCCAAGGACTTAACTTCTACTTCTTACTATAATCGTCTGAAAAGGAGAAAGGGAAGGAAAAACACAACATTTAGGGTGTGAGGGGTAAAGAGGAAGGGAGCAGGAATATGAAACAAAGAGGAGTGGAACAAAAAAAAGAACATGTGAGAACAGGCGTGGGGGAAGAGAAACACTGTCCAAAGAAACAGAAATCTCGGAGATTAATTCTAGGCAGTCCTAGTATGCAGGTTAGACAAACATTATGCGGTTTTAAAATAAAGAAAACACCCAGAGCACCATTGTTCCTTAACCTTATTTGCAGAGAAAATGAGTATGACCATTTAGAAAAGGTCAACAGAGCGCTGCACATGATTTTTGTTTAGAAATGCACCCCACTAATGTGAAAGTTGGAATACTAATCATGGTGAGTGATAAAAGGGCTTTTTTCTAAAACTGCCCATGAAAAAAAACAGTACATTGATCAGTTGCATACATGTACTGGGAAATACCTCAGCATGGATCTTACAACAGAACAACTTATTCAGAATAGCTAAAAGCCTCTGCAAAAAAGGGAATGTTTCGATCTGTTTGAAGATATACAGTATAGTATTGGCATAATTTATCAGGTGCCTTGCACACTTATTTCACAGATAAACAGGGAAATACCAGCCACACATCTAGGCTTTGAACTTGAAAGGTTGTATTTAGAATTTAAGGAATGCACAATAAATATGCCATAACCATTAAGGGCTTTTATTTTCCTTTTTCATAAATTCACTCCTCTTGTGTGTAGTTGTGTAGGAGAAGCAAAGGAAAGACTTAGCTACTCCCTTAAGTCCTCTATTAAAGGCAGAGGCAGAGCACAACTGTTCAGCCTCACACTGGTTCAAAGTATCTTCCATCAGCCCTCCCAGACAGGTAATTCAGAGCAATTTAAACGTGAACCCTGAAGATGCAGGAAGCCATCAGAGCATGCCGCTAAAAGTAGGTCGTGCTGATGGCATTTTCCAATTCCCAGTCTTTATTCTTTCTATTCCATTTACATTTACCTCTCCAGCTGCTTTTCTGACACAGTTTTGAGTCTTTTGAAATGTTATAATGCAGGACTAAGCACACTTCATTGGATTTAGGGCCACATATTTTTTTTTTGCTCAGGATTAGTTGGCTATGCACCTTGACCAAAAAAACACTACATGTTGTATATGCTATTGAAAAATTTACTTAAAAAAATGATTTCATGGTTTTTGCAGTGTTAACTGTCATAGACATGCAAAATATGAAATATTCATAAAAGACATAAATAACACTGCACATCCTTCATCATATTTTCCTTCTTAAGCAGTTTTTGTCCATGTCAGATAACATGATAATCTAAATGAGATACATGTATACAGTAAAGATTTTTCCAGATTGTTATGACTGGATATGAAGTAGTGTTTCTATGATATTCTACAGTATACTGGGTTGCAGAACTATACACAATGACTGTACACTGCCTGACGGCCAGGAAGTATTAACCAATTTAGTTGAAGAATCCATTTTACTGTAAGGAACAAACAGGGCCAATGAATTTAGTTGACTGTTATAAACATCAGATTATTATTTTTAAACTGCTTGTTTATTGTTGAATGCCAACCTCATCTCAAGACAGCAGCTCCAGACAGAGGTTCTATTATCTGTTAGATGGCATTCAGGATTAAGACATTTATTTTCTCTTGTACATATATAAATCACTCTAAATTTAAATTAGGTTGAATGTAGATAGCTTTTGCTGTAGTGGGATCTTCCACCATAGGTTTGCTTTCAAGGTGTAGTACTGAACATACTACAGACATACTTATACGGCAGGAAGCAGTAATCTGTGCATTAAAAGTAAAAAGAGAAACCTTTTATTTTAATGCACAAATATAAAACAAAATTATTGATTCACATGGCTGGGAATTGCTTCTGTGGTTCAGAGGTTGGTGGGGAGTGAAGATAAAGCCGGCGTCACACTACATGACTCGACACAACTTCTAGTCGGAGAGCATGTCAAATTTAACGACAGCAGTTGCTGAATCTCGCTGCCTTTTCTGACCTAGACGGTGTCAAATTATACAACTAGGAATCGCAGGGGGAGACTAATTACACAATTCCCTCACGACTTTTCATCACATTTACAAATCTCGTATGCTCCTCGAAAGTACCACGAGGTCGCCTCATTTTGGCAGCCAATCAACATGGAGCACACCTGAATAAGAGGAGGAGCACCACACAAAAATAAACAAACGACAAACACAAAACATCGAACAGATATCTGTGCTGGCTCCAATGTTCGACGAGCCTCTCCTCCATTTGCACAGTCCAGAACACTCGCCTCTCTTCTTTCCTTGCAGCCGCATTGTACACATTGTGCTTCCGGTTTGAGCGCTCATTGGCTGTAACTGTCGCAGACGCAAGAGCCCACCCCTACAACTTGCAACTCGCTACGAGAAAATCAAACCAGAGTCGTAGGGGCTGTTAAGAGCACTGTGACTGAGTTGTTGACTGAGGGTGTCACACTACACAACTGACGGTAACTGGCGCACGCTGCGACTCTCTACAACTTGCTGTGATTTTCTTACAAATATGTAAATGAAGGCTAAGACTGAAAATCCTAGGAAAAGTCATGAAGTGTACATGTTTTAGTGTCAATCAATGCAGACTTTAACAAAATGAGGATTTCCTTTATCCCACATTCAATCAAATTACTTGAGTTCACAATAAAGGTGAATTGGTTTATGGGCAAGTGCAATTAGCTCACGTGCAAAAATGAGGAGTATTGTGCAATTAAAGGGGCTTAGGGTGATTGAGGGGGAGGTTAAGGTCTGTGTTCTGGTAACCTGCATGTAGTCCTGTAGGAGCTGTGTGTAATGACAATATATGGGTTCATGTCTTTCATGTAATGCTATATATTTATTTTTTAATGTTTATTTGTAGTTTTTGTAGGTTTTTTGTTAGTCTTTGTGTGTAAAACATAGGCACTTGGATGCAAAACAAACATCTGTGAAATCAGACAAAAATGATTATTGTATTGTATTCTACCAGCAGTCAGTGCTTAAGATGAGACTGTTAAGGTCATGTTATCTCCACAGAACATCCAGTGCCATTGAAGTCTCCTGTGTCAGGTGAGTCACAGACTTGGTTGAATGGGTCAGGACTGGCAAATGCACAGTACACAGTATATAATTAAACAGAAATAACAATCACACACCTGAAGATGGCTCAATAGCTGCAAAATTGCGTTTTCTCTTTCTACGTTTCAGTAAGCAATTAACCTCAACATGTTCCTTTTGCAGCCCTCATGCGGATGCTGCCCCCAGCCTAACCTCTTCATTCATAAAAAGAAGTGTCAGAACAGATAGAGGTTACTTACTGTGTTGTCTGTGAAATTGTAATCCAAGGAGTATTGTAATTTCCCCAGCTTCTCTTGCTCCTTGGGTTCATCCTCCTTCTCTCCATCAGTCAGCCCTGTCTCAGCATCATCATCCTTTATAGGCTGTAGAGTCAAACAGAGACCACTGGAGTCAGTTTATATCCTGACACCTGAGCCAGACCCAGGCTTTCGCTACTGTAATAGCTCAAGTCCCCTTTCAAATGCAGCTACTGGGAGCAAGCACTAAATGACCTTGTTTATATCACCACATGCACAGAATCCTTTATCATTGAGCATGGAACTGACTCTTCTTGATTTGTTTTAAAATAGCCAAGCAGCTAGACAACAATAAAGGTTCTAAAAGGCAAATTCATTTAGCTTTAAAAAAACTAAACAAAACATGATTCCCTGGATATATTTTCGAGCAGACAGCTGAAATGATCTGACAAAAAAAAATCAGAAGGGAAATGTCAAGATGGTATTTACTGTAAGCATGTTCCCCACTTATCTTGTCTGGAAGACAACTGTTTGAGAAAGCATGCAGTTAAAACTACCTATCACTAAGCTCATTCAGTTCCAAAGAGTTCATGGAATGTTAGATATTGGTCAGGCATGCAGTGCCTTCTCTTACTACAAAAGGGTGCTTAAAGTAATGTTTTCCCCAGATGGCAGTTGTAATAGAATTGCAATGTCTTAGACCTCAGCTGCATGTGTTACCGTGAGTATGAAAGCTGTAAGCATCATGCCAGCAGAAGGTTTCGTTACAGGGAAGACATATACGCTTCTTTTTGTCTTAATTCCAGGCTGCTGGAGTGAAAGCAAAGGCTGAACAAAATTGATGTTTTGATAAAAAAAAGAAATGGTTACTATCACCCCTGTGTGAGAGTTTTACGTCTCTCTCTCTCTGTCTGCTTGTATAACTATTTGTGCCAATTAATTCCAGGGAAGGGTGCTTGGACAAATTAGTTGAGTGGCACATGGTGAATATACAGCAAGGGGCAGAAGTAAAAGATAAAATTATTAAGAACAAAATCTGCTTAAGCTGTCAGTGGCTTTACAAACTAATCCCTCGTCAAGGTTCTCTGTTCTAATTGTCCCAGTGGATTTTAGATGCTACTCAGCTTTAACAGAGTACTGTTTCATACCACGCCATCCAGCACAGAACCAGCTATTAATAAGCACTGTCCGCATGGACACTCAAGTATGAACTCTTTTAATCTTTGTAGCTGAAGAAGTACCAAACTGAAGTCAAATGCCTTTGGTTGTTTATTATACTGCCTCAAGCAAAATGCCAAACTAAGAAAATTGAGACAGTATCTTAAATAACAGGCTCTGTTTCATCTCAGGAATGGAAGAATTCTCTTCTTGCATATTATTGATATTGTATCTTCTTACTACATATTAATCATAAATACTTCTACATCTCTCACTGAAACAGTAAATTCATAGCTAATACCCATTGTTAAATGTTAACGAGTTTGCAGTATACTGTCTCAGCTGGTCCTTTTCTGTACAAAAAGATCAGACCTTCACAGCAAAGTAAACTTCTACAGTTTCTATAAGCAGAGAAGATCAATTTGGTTCATCCTTTTTGAAGCGTGTCACTGTTATATATGTATATTTATACATATATAAGCATGTTTGTAGAGTATATATAATTATACATATGTTTTTACTGAGGAGAAACTGCTGTCAGGAAGCTATACGTTAGAGAGCAGCAGGCTAAGAATGTCCAACAGCAAGCAAAAACCTACCGCCATTGGCAATCCAGAACAGTCATCAGACACAACACAGATAAGGAGGACATAGAAGGAAGAAACAAAAATTAAAACAACCACACACAAGTATTAACACAGTAATCTGGGCATACCATGAGAAATGACTCCTTGAGTGCCACGGATTATGGGTCTGATTTGCCAGGTAGCCTACAGTATATCCTTTTTTTAATTATTTGCCTGTGGGTATGCGTTGTTGCCTTTATATTAGAGAGAGATACTGAGATACACCACCAACCGTTATTAGTAATAATCCGTTTAGAAAACATTTCCCTTTTGTGGACCAAATGAAGTCTACTTGAACTAGAATCTTGAACACGCCCTTGGACACAAAAATAAAAGACTTTCTCCACAAGTTATTTTACTTTTTTGTTAGTAAATTTGCTTTTGTGTATGTAAATACAGGGTGATGGAGGGCTTGCAGTCTCAAATGTAGAAGAAGTGCGACCATTTCAGCTACAGTGGGTGTAGGGAGTTCAAGGAACAATTCTAAAAGTCAATTTATGCTGTAAATCTTTTGAACAGAAAAAAAGTGAATTGAATGTTTAATTTACAGAGGATATTGGAATAGTTTTTTTCCAAGTAAAATTGAATTACACCTTAACATGTTATAACAAAAAGAAGAGACATTATTGAATTAAACATAAAAACTTGTATTTTCCACTGCACTCCACAAAGTTCTTTTTTGGATGGAAATTTCTCATTGTACATACTGGTTTGCCAAAAAAACGTATACTCTGCTTTAAATGCAGTACATAAATAGAATAGCAAAAATAGCTTTTGTGAAAATCTAAATTTCTGAAAATATGCTAACTGTAAATTTCCTTAGCAGGCTGCAGTGTTGGGGCAGGTTAATAATGCAACAAGTTCTCATATTTTTCATCAACTTATTACAACACAATCACACAGCTCCACATAGTGCCAAAAAACAGTTTCAGAACCAATGCCCCTTTTCACTGCCTGGATTTTGTTATTTGTGCTCTCAGTAGTATGTTAATGTAAGCCCTTCTGATACATGTGCAGTGCAAAAAAAAAAGAAATGATAAGGAGTGAGTTGGGAGTAGATTAAAGTGTCCATAAAAAATAAAACGTCCTCTTTCACTGAAAGGAAAGGCTCAATTAATTTGCTACTTAATGTAATTAACTTCAGTCATTTCTCCAGGTTAATACCACACATAATATTATAACACATATGAGTACAACCATTCTTTGAGCAGAACCAAAGAACATACAGAACAGTGCTTCCCAACTGGAATGAAACTGGTTTCCAAAAGTCCCTGTGGAAAGTGTAGCTTTACACTTAAACACAGGTGAACAGTAGGTTCAAACATAGTGTACTTCATTGCAATGTTTAAACAAAACAAACATGTCCAAACTGTCAGAAACAGTTGTGCAGCTATTGGAAATTGTCACTGTAATAAAAGTCAAGGGTGAAACAACATACACTGAAGAAAGGACATTTTCATGGTATTCAGACTTCACATGGCATTATGTGTAACCCAGCTTCTGGTAAAATACTAAGGGCTACTCATACAACTGGCTAATACTAAACATGACAGCAGTCAAAACCTTACATAATGTGTGCAACTGTATTCCTAGCATTTTGTGTTCCAATTTGTGGCTTGTTATTTCTCAAACAGCCAACTACATCCCATAGAGCAAGTGCCACATCTGAATAAAAAATAATATGGATTATTGGGCTTTTGAAGATGACTTTTATAATGTGGCCTTTTTGTTGTTGGCTATCGATAGTGTTTTACAAATTGTTAGACATTTCTTTTTCAAACACAATTCCTTCTGTTTTCACATATTTCTTTTCCCTTTTCCCCTATATAACAAAGGGGAACTGCTATCTTTTCCCTTAATTTTGTTCCAGTCCTTTGGGATTTACTGGGATAAAGACAGAAGTAAAGTACAACAAATACAGTATACAGTAGGTACTATATTCAGACATATAGGGAGGGTTTATTCCAAATACTTTCGGGATGTCTTGTCTTCACAAACAAGCACAGTGACTCAAATTTTTACTATTAGCTTAGTGGTGTACAATATACATATCGCACAATCTAGATACCTGTACATCCAAAAATGTACTCAAGTTTAAGACACTCTTACAAAGGAACTGTCAGGACCAATTCTGGCCCTGGAAGGCGAGTGACTCTGCAGGTTTGTAAGTGCTCTTTATAGCAGCAGCACCTGAAGAGCTGGAAGAAGCTGTTGAATTGGTACAGCTAAACCAGTAACCAGCAGGTGCAAACTATCAAGACCTGAGTGGATTGAAAACCTGCAGACACACCGGCCTTCCAGGATCAGGACTGGACACCCATGCCATAACATTTTCTTCAGATCAAAAGTCTCCACAGGAACAGATGGGGATCCCCCATCATATCTGCAGGTGCTGAGATACTGTAGAAATTTAACTGAAGATATGACAAGAAATCAGAGGTAACAACAATACATGGGATTCAAAAGATATCTTGTTACAAGTATTGATGAAACAACAGTGGTGTGCAAATCGTAAAGTTTATATACAGAATGTTAATGCAGAAAATGTTGCTAAACTTTTCTCATTTGAATTTCACTTAGCTCTAGTTCTCACTTTCCATAAATGGGCTTTACGCACATCATTAATTCATTTTTGATCTGATTGTACTTCTTTTACTCTCGTAAATACAATCAAGGGAAAGCACTAATATGTGTTAGGGAACATTTCTTTACATCAGGTCCAAGCCTGAAAAGTTCACCAGTGAGAGTAGCGAGTTAAAGACACGAGAAAATATAAAAAAGAAAAGTAAGATATAATATTATTTAGATCACAGAAATTTTTGAAATACAGTACATGAACATATTCTTAAAATGTTGATGGTATATGGCCCTTCCGTAGGCCATACTGCACAGTATACAGCCTACAGAAGCTTGTAAAATGTGTATTAAAAAACAGGTTAATATAAAAAATCAGCAATAGTCAAACAATGTTACAGAGAACAGGAATAGAATAATTTTACCTCCTTTGTATTTTTGCCTGGATCTTTGACATCTTTCATGTTAATAGCATTTTTTCCACCCTTTTCTTTGCCTTTCTTCTTGTTCTTTTTCTTGAACAAACACTTCTTACAGATGCAGAAGCAGCACGTAAGAACCAGCAGGACAGCAACTATGGCTATGGCTATTATGGCCCACGATGGCACTACAAACAAGAAAAAAGACAGAGTTGGAAAACTGAACATTCAAACAGACATCAAGGTCAAGGCATTCTATTAAGTACAGCATACAGCATGTTTACAATGAAAATAAGATGGTGTTTACATTTGTTACCACTACTCACAACTCCTGTCCCTCAATCACCTTCGACATTCTCATTCTAAATAGACCCGGTCTAATTCTGGGAATCTCTCCCGGATTATTTGAGGTAATCGGTCTAAATGTTGCAATTGTCAGGAACAGTTCTTTCAGGACCCTATGCCGACGACACGATCCAGAAGGTGAAGAAACAATAGGGAAAAATATCATGCAGGAGTAGGTCAGGAGACGTCGGGGCGTGTCCGAGGTGAGCAGGTGTCCAGGGGAAGTGAGTCCAGGGCAAACAATCCAAGAATAAATCCAAAAGGGAAATCCAAAATGGGAGGCAGAGTCCAAGACCAAGGGACCCATCCCAAGTAATTTAAAAACCAGAACCGGGTCGGGACCAGCGGGACAGGGAATCAGGAACAGGAAACTAAAACCATAACGGAGCCAGATGCAGCAGGACCCCGGGCTCTCACGAAACGGGATTCAATGAGAAGCACCGGGCAAACGCCTGCGTCTGGCTTTAAAGGTGGAACTAAAGAGGGGCTGGGTAAGGGAACAGGTGTAAGCAATGGGGAAAAATGAGGAAGGGCTGGAGTGCCCTTAAGAGGAGGAGTAACGATCGTGACAGCAATGCTACATTCATTGTTGTACAGTAGATGCAAAGTAGGATGGTTACAAGCAATTGCAATTAGTCATATCATCCTAAAATCTTGTTCTGCTGCTGTTTGAAAAGAACCTAGAATGTCAGTTTGAACAGCTTGAAGGGGTATTTTATTCCATACCTCATGACTTTTTGTGTCTCCTGTTCTAAGTGATTAAAGTGTCTCCCTTTGAAATGTTTGTGTAAACCCTTGGTTTGTCTGTACTGGAGGCATCAAGGAATTTGAAAAAGTGAATAAATTGTCTCGTAATCTTTTCTGTTTAAGGGAGAAGAGACGTAGTTCCTGTATATTAGACCAGCCATTAATGGGTCACTTTTTTTTTGACAATTCCAGGAAAGCAATTTCTTCTTTTTGTGAAAAGGAATACTGAACACAATATTCTAAATTATGTCTTACTAATGCATTGCAAGGTTTTCTAACATATTTTGTCAATTTACATTCTACACTTTTCACAACACATCTAAGCATTCTGTTAACCTTTCTTATGCTTCCCTGGACAGTCTGTTTGAAGACTATTACAATACAGACACTCTTTTTCATAGCATGTTAGTTGTGCATTGATTATTCAGCCCTCTGGGGTATCATTTGTCTTTGGTGGTGGCATTTTGACAACTATTACCACTACAAAAGTTACAAATTAAACACAATCTTGCTGATGAGCTACATAGTATTTACGTTAGATTCGACAAGCTTGACTGTAATGGAAAAATCAGGGAACTTGGAGAAAAGCTCACTGCTTTCACCAAGGTGAATTTGATACACAACACACTTGAAATGTTTTTAAAAAAAACAAGTCAGAAAAAGTCTTGGACCTGATAACATCAGTGGGCAGGCACTGAAGTCAAGTGCTGTGCTGTTCAGTACTATATTTCATTATATTTTCAAATATCTTTGAATTAGAAGAAAGCAGAACAGCAGAACTTCAAAATTTGGAAACAGGGAACAATTATACCAGTTGCAAAACACAATTCCCCCAAGATCTTAAATGATTTCAGACCAGTGGCATTGACCTCTTTAGTAATGAAATCATTTAGGAAAATTGCATGTGCTCAACCAGACAGAGCACCTACTGCATCTCATGAAATTTTCCTCCAAGGCTAAAAGAGGAGTTGAAGATGCTAGCCTCACATTAATGAAACTCTTATATTCACATCTAGAAGATCTTAAGACACACACCAGACTTGTATTTATAGATTTCTCATCAGCCTTTAACACCATTTATGCAAAATTGTTAGTGAATAGATTACTCCCAATTTTGATCTAGACTTTAATATTGTGGGTTGTATCTTAGACCTTTTGAACAACAGATCACAAAGAGTAAGGGTAAATGGTCTTATATCAGAGCAGCTTTGTTCTTCTGCTTGGTTTCCTCAGGACTGTGTGCTGTCCACTATTCTATACATTTCTTTATACTGTACAGACAGCTGTGGGAGCCCTTTTGAGAACAGACACATCAGTAAATTTGCTGATGACTCTGTCATTGTCAGTCTTCTCCAAGATTAACACACTGATCATGGGCCTGTAATATATTATTTTATTGAATGAAATAACTATTTTTTCCTTCAACTTAATGTGTCAAAAACAAAAGACATGATCATTGATTACAGAAAGCAACCACCTGCTGCAAAACCAATAGTCACTGAGGAGCAGGAAATTGAAATTGTCAACAATTACAAATACAGTATCTAGGCACTATTGTTGATTAGAAGCTAACCTTCGAGGAAAACACAGATGACATACAGTATGTAAGAAGAAACAACTTTTTTTCTTAGTGCTTCCTGAGAAACCTCCACTGTAGTGTGTACTACAACAATTATTTTAGTCTACAGAACTTATTTTGAACCTGTCTTAACATTCATTGAGGCAGCCTGGCTTGGTAATCTTAACACACTCAATCAAAACAGACTCAGCAGGATAGTGAAAGTAGCCAGCAAAATTATTGGTGGATGACAGCTACAGCTGTCAGACATCTATGTCAAACAAATAGTGTGGAAGGCCAGTAAAATCATCGACTGTCATGACCACCACTTGCACTGTATATTTGAACTCCTTCCATCTGGGCTTCAATATAGACTACCTAGATTCAAATGCCATAGAACTAAGTTATCTTTTATTCCCATGACTATTAATCTGCTTAATTTGGAAAATGGATTGCGTATTTTTCTTTATTTTTTCTTTCTCATCATACATGCGAGTCTCTTATTTGTTAATGGGTTCATGTTGTGTTAAATATTTTGTGTATTGTGTTACAGTACATACAGTACCCGAAAAGCAAATTTACCATGTGGAACAATAAAAGGTAATAAGTAATCACAAATCAACAGGGTGCTTAGAATGTTAGCTGGCCTGTTCAAGTAATTGTAAAATGAAAAAAAAAATATTTAGTGATAAAATTTGGTTGATTTACACATGGGGCCATTGGAATGTTCCATGTAGTTTATTCTGTATCAACGTAAACAACATTTGTTTCCTTCATGGCTTCTTACTGTACATTCTTTATTCTGATTCAGAATACTGAATAATGCATCCTCAGATGGACACTGGTGGATCTAACTTCACTATTCCATGGGCAACCTTTTTCACGATACAGTCATTTGAGGGGACAAAAACATTATTTTGCAGTGTTTTCTAGACACATATAATTAAAAATGTTTTAAAGGTATCACACCACTTCCATACTTATATCTGTTATAGGTATTTCTCTGAGGTGCATTGGATTTGAGCAAGTTTGCAGACAAGTTCATCACAGAATAAAAAAGGTTGGTTCTAAACACAGAAGCCGTGAGATATATTTCACACAAATAAATTGCTCTAGCAGTTGACTGGAAAAATGTTTGATTATATTGTTGAACTGCTCCACTTGTTGTCACAATATGGTCCTCCTCCAGTGAGCTCAGCACAGGAAAAGAAATACTGAACATAGCCGGAGATCTAGGTTACTGATGACTTACTGTACCTCAGGAGATAAGGACAATGAGAGAAAAGAAGGGAGGGCACAGATTGTTTTTAATGAATTAAAACAGAATGCAGAATGCCTAGAATATTGATTTTTTATACATTAATTTATTTAAAATTATTTTATTCATCAGCCTGTAAACATCCAATATTTTGAGGCATCTCTGTTTGCTCATCAAAATGATGTAGCTCAGACAGCTGGCTAAGCCCTAAAAATGAAAAAGGTAGAAGTGTCCTTTTTCAGTCCTTGTGTAATTATTGTTGAACTGTACAGGAATAGTAACTACTTTCTAGGGCAAAGAGAGCAAAAATGTTGAAGGGGAAAATCCAGCACAGCTCACTGAAGATAGTTTAATCAATGGAAGCAGATTTAACGACTGCACACGCTTTCAAAAATAACGATTTTTTTAAAAGCAGGACATTAAGAACAGTTTAACAACTAAATGAACTCCTTCAATGGATTTGACAAAAACCAACCAATGTCACCAGCTTAAGCAATGACTTCCAATAAAGATTTTTCAATTTTCTGCCAAGTACAAAACATTTTCTTTTCTATCAGCAGCACCTATTATAGTAGCAGGAATTGAATGATAGTGCCATCTACCCATTTGAATCATACAGCCTTTATATCTTCTGCTTTCCTTCATTGAAAAAAAAAGAGCTTAGAGTTTTTGATAGGCTCAACAAAGGTATGTTTGGCAGGTGATTAGTACCCCTGTACTCCATAAAAGCTTCCAAAAATTTTGAATGCATTTATCTATGATACTTTTGATCAAATCGTTGTACCAAAAGTGAAGTTCATTGATAACACTTCTAGTTTATAAGCCCCCACCATGTCAAAGGGGCAGTGGTGCAGATAGCTATGGATGGTTTAGCTCTTATAAGCCCACCGAACTCTAGCAGCGCTCAGTCAATTGTGCAGAACCACTCGGAGGATCCCAGTCACTGTTGACTAATGGACTTGACTGATCCAGAAATGGTACAAGTACAGTATATATGAGTGTAACGTACCGTAGATGAAAGCCACCTGGAAGCACATCATTTTGAATCTACTGCAGTTTCAGATTGTAAGAGAGACCCTTAACAGTGAGAAAGAAGTCTGTGCTGTGTGTGCCTGTGAGTACACCTGTCAGTCACTATCTCCAAACCCACTAACACCAGACATCCCTTTTAGCTGAAGCATCAAGTGTCTGCTTTGTGGGAAATGAGAATGACACTGTCCCAGAAGAGATGGGAAATAAGCAGGCACTCAGAATTTCTTTTGAATGGCATTTTACATAAA